GATTTGAACCACCAACCTTGTTGCACAAACTGACCTTGCAGTCCAGTGCATTATCCTGCAGCAACACACCAGGGCTCTCTCTCTATATATATACATATAAAGTAGCACTAGTTTTGCTTCTCTCGAGAACCCAGCCTAATACACTCAGAGTTACTTTAACATGACTCCAGTAGTAATAACTGGATTTAAAAAAAAAGTGGATGGGAAATAAGATAGGGTTATTTAAAAATATTTATGCATTTTTAAGCACTGGAAAAGAAATGTAACAAGGGAAAACTAGCACTCCCAAATACTGAAACATATGGATGTTCAGTAATAAAAACATTATGATACTTTAATTTCATAAATAGACCAATGAAAGAATGGAATAAATTAGAAAATCAATAAATCATTGCAACAATTTAATATATGAAATATCAATGGGAAAAATGGCTAATTCAATAAATAGGGCAAAAAGTGGGTTGTTGTTAAGCACCGTGGAGTCGGTTCTGACTCATAGTGACCCTGCACAGGTTTTCCAAGGCTTTAGATCTTTATGGGAGTAGAATGCCTCATCTTTCTCCCATGGAACTGCTGGTAGTTTTGAATTGCTGACCTTGAGGTTGGCAGCCCAACTCATAACCACTACGCTAAAGACATCTGAAAAATACAATTTTTTTTTCTATTATATCTTTCATAACTGTAAACAAAATAGGAGGGGATATGGAGAATTAAAAAGCAAAAACTCAGATTAGAGAAGATTCAAATACGACATATGACCAAAAAGGCCATAAAATTAGACTGATAAATTTAACTATACACAAAAACCAAAAATAATTAATTCTCCCTTGAAAAATGTTTATATACAACTGTGAGAAAATTTGCAATTCATATCACAAATAAAGACCTGAATTTTAACATATGTACAAAAAACTCTTAAATTAATTAAGAAAAGACAAAAAGTACCAGTTTTAATAGTGATAAAAAGTTCATGAATCCCAATGGCTTAAATAAGAGGTTTATTTTTCAGGTATGGTGTGTTTCATTGTAGGCAGTTGGGGTTCTTGTCTAAGTTTCTCTGATCACAGGACTTAGATTGACGAGTAGCTCTCTCCTGAAGAATCCTAGTAATTGTGTTAGACAGAAAGAGACTTGCAGAAGGAAAGGAAGGTCTTGCACCAGCAATTAGGTGTGAGCCTGAAAGTGTCACTCATCAATTCCTTTTGTCAAATCATTGACAAGAACTAGCTACATAGCCCTGCCCAAGCCCAGAGGGACCAGGTTGTGCCATGCTCTATGTGCCTGGTAGGAGTGAGAAAGCACCAAAGTTTATCAAATCCACATAGTCTATGCCTTACTCAGTTTCTCTATGAAAGGTCTAGTCAAAGAAAGGCGTTGGCATATTTCATTACATTTCATATGCTGGTTATTAAAGAAATAAAAAATTCCTCTCTTTCCAAAATTTGTAGTGACATCTTTCTGGTCAGCAGAGTGAATCTGAGGATCTGTGAGATAGATGAGCCCTTTTCCATTACCAGTCACCCAACCTGAAACAGAAACAGATGTCTGAGTAATAAATCCCTACAAATGTCAGTAAATTTTCAGAAAAAAAACAAACAAACTCATACATATATATGTGTGTGTGTATGTTTATACATATATAAACTTAAAGAGATCTTTTAGAACTCGCTGATACTTAGGTTTATGTTTAAGGAAATTATGCTAAGGGATTTGGTATTAGGTAGTCCAGTTATTTGTTACCGCAGGGCCCATGGTTCAAATCCACCAGTTTCTCCATGGGAGAAAGATAAGGCTTTCTGCTTCTGTAAAGATTAGCAGCCTCAGAAACCCAATACAGGGTCACTATGAGTCAGAATCAATGCAACAGCACTTCACAACAACAACAACAACACCAAGTCCAGTTACTGGTTTAAGAGGAATATATTCGGTAAATATATTAGTCAAATATGACATCCAGATAACTGATTTTCAAGGAATTAAAAGGAGTGATAAAATGCACTTACACAACTATTTAGTTCATTCTGACTATAAAAGTCAGAGTGGAATTGCTTCTTAGGGTTTCTGACGTGTTAAATCTTTATAGGAACAGACAGCCTCATCTTTCTCTGGAAGAGTGACTGATAGGTTTGAAACAATGACCTTACAGTTAGCAGCTCAATGCTTAACCCACAATGTCACCAGGGTGCCTTAAAATGCACTTACTATATTAAAATCACAATATTGAATATTTCTTTCATATTTTAGAAGTTTCTTTACTGTCCTTATTGTTAATTCATATATTCATCCACTTATTCAATAAATATTTATTGAGTGCATATAGTCTAAAAAGAAATTGGTAAATATTGGGGATGCAGCAGCTACTAAGTCAGTCAAAAATCCTGGTATTCAGTGGACAGATGTACAGACTGACCAGGTATGAGAGGAAGAGTGGGAGTACACCCACAAATATATAAAGGTTCGACAGAGGATATTTGTACATGTACTTACCTTTCCTGCAAGTATTGATATGAATGTGGTGGAGCATAGAGAAGGCAAAGTTCTGAAAACCTCTTAGACATTATCAAACACCTTGAGGGGATGAATTGCTCAGCCTGGGGGCACAGAATCATAGTCTTGGTAGACACCATGCTCAACTGGCATAAAATAGTCCACAAAGACAATGTTCTACAACCTAATTTTGTGAGTCGCTTACTGGGGGTTCTGGTGTGGCACTGGAGGATAATACACTGGAACACAAGGTCAGTTTGAACTGCAAGACCAGCAGTTCAAATTCACCAGCTGCTTCTTGGAAACCTTAGACTGGGTTACTATGAGTTGGAACCAACTTGACAGCACTTAATAACAACAACAACAACAACAACTAGGATCTCAGCACTCCTAGTGTGGTACTGTAGGATCAGCACTGGACTGTGAATCACAAAGTCATCAACTCACCAGCTGCTCCTTGGAAGCATTACTCAGAATTGCTATGGGTCAAAATGGACTTTGTGGCACTTAACAACAACAACTGGGATCTTAAGCTTATAGGTGACCATTTAAGGCGCAACTATTGGCCTCTTTCTGAGTGGAGGAAAGAAGTGTGATGAAATTTGAAGACACTTGCAATCAATAAATCCAATGGACTAATGGAACATGGGAACATCAGTCTCCATGACTCTGAGACCAGAAGAACTAAATGGTTCCCGGCTACCACTACCAACTGCTCTGTAAGGGATTACATTAGAAGGTCCTGGAGAGAGTGGGAGAAAATGTGGAATGAAACTCAAAATTATAAAAAAAGATGGGGCTTCTAGTCAGAGAGAAACTGGAGGAATCTGAACCTGTGACGCTTGGTCACCCTCTAGGTCTGGAATGAAATTCACCTTCGTGGCTCAGTTTTCAGCCAAGTAGTAGATTGGTATATAATGGGGGCAGCACTAGGAAGGTAAGCTTACCATGGAGAGGTCAACCATTAAAGATCAAAAGGACAGCAACTACCTAAGAACAAACTTCTGAAGCATTGGATAGGAGGGTGGAATGGAAATAAAAATTATAGGGAGGATGTGATTGAAATCATTGAGATGAAATGATGTGTATGATTTGTTGAATGTAAAAGTGATGATCTGCTCTGTAAATCTTTGCTCAATATTCAATAAAATGATTTTAAAAATCCCTGTATTCATTGAGCTAACATTCTTTTGAAGGGGGACAGATCAATAAACAATATAAATTTATTGAATATATAGTAGGACCAAAAGCAACTTGAACCCACTAATGTCAGATAGATTCTGACTCATGCTGGCCCGAAAGGACAGAGCAGAACTGCCCGATAGCATTTCCAAGTCCGTAAATCTTTGCAGAAGCATCTGCTACATCTGTCTCCCACAAAGCTTCTGGTAGGTTCCAACTACGACCTTTTGGTTAGCAGCTAAGTAAGTGCTTTAGCTACTGTACCACAAGAGCCTACCTATAAATACCATGGACAGGCGGAATAGTGAAAATCTTGGGGGTGGTAGTTGTTGTTGTTAAGGGCTGTCTGTCGAGTTTTTTCCAACTTATGAGGACCCTATGTAGGGTTTCCAAAGAGCAGCTGGTGGTTTGAACTGCCAGCCTTGTGGTTAGCACTCCAGTGCTTATCCTACAGTGTCACACCAGTGAAGTATATAGTATTGGCAATAAAAATTTTGTTAAATAAAACACCAAATTGGAAACAAAATAAAAATATTAATGTAGCCGTTCAAAGAAGTCCGAATCAAGTACACACAGCTTTCTGTTCCATAATGACTCTTTATGTAATCTGCCATGACACAACAAGAATAAAGGACAGGGGAAAGAAAGGGCTATAAGATCACTGCATATCAAAAATGTAATAATAAAATACCTCCATTATTCAATTCGGATTGAATGGGGAAAAAAGGTGTTATGGGTTTGTTATTGTTGTTAAGTACCATTGAATTGATTCCGTCCCATAGTGACCCTGTATAGGGTTTCCAAGGAGCAGCTGGTGAGCTTGAACTACTCACCTTGCAGTTCAAATGGCTTTGCAGTCTTATGCATTAGGCCACAGCGCCATACCAGGACTCTGGGACTAACCCCAACTGAATGTAAGTCAGATTCTCTTAGTGATTTTGTGATACCTTAGACTCTTGTAAAAGCTTTAGACATTTTTTTTCAGGAATCAATTGCTACATATAGTAAAAACAAAGAACTTAATTCTAAATAGCAGCCTATACATTGGAAAAATCTATTAACGTGCTTGTCAGAACTAGCTCACAATCTCACATTTACATATTGAAAATTAAAAATTAATTCCCATCATTCACATACCTTGTAAATCAACTACAACATCTCTACATTTGGAAAACTCATAAGAAAAATGGCCATAAGCCAATCCATATTCTGTGGCTTCGTACTCTTTTTTCACCACTTTCGTGTTATTTGATAATTTTACAAATTCTCCCAGCATATAAGGTTCCACACTAACACATCCCTTTATTGTCTTGTCCTCTAGAATCTGAAAAACAGAAATGGGGAGAGTACAGAACATAATAATAAAGACCTGGGATATGGAGTTAGGTAGCTCTTGGTTTGAACTTAGGCTTTGCCACTTGAGAACTTGGTTAATTAACTTTACTAGATTTTCGTTTCTTCATTGCAAAATGGGTCAATTGTGTAGATCATGACAAGCTACAGGCAACATTGAGGAGAATGAGTATTCCAGAACACTTAATTGTACTCATGAGGAACCTGTACACAGATTGAGAGGCAGTTGTTCGAACAGAACAAAGGTATGTACACCAAATGTTTTAAAATTAGGAAAGTTGTGTGCTAGAGTTGTATTCTTTCACCATACTGATTCAATTTGTATGCGGAGCAAATAATACGAGAAGCTGTATTATATGAAGGAAAATGTGGCATCAGGATTGGAGGAAGACTCACTAACAATCTGCAATATGTAAATGATACAACCTTGCTTGCTGAATGGGAAGAGGACTTAAAATACTTACTGATGAAGATCAAAGACCACAGCCTTTGGTACTTTTGCACTTCAATGTAAAGAAACAAAAATCCTTACCACTGGACAGAAAAACAACATCCATATCAATGAAGAAAAGATTGAAGTTGTTTAAGACTCAAATTTGCTTGGATCAACCATCAATACTCAAGGAAGCAACAGTCAAGAAATCAAATGACGTATTGCATTAGGCAAATCAGCTGCACAAGACCTCTATTAAAGTGTTAAAGAATAAAGATGTCAGTTTGAGGACTAAGGTGCACCTGACCCAAGCCATGGTATTTTCAATAATCTCATAGGCATGTGAGAGTTGGACAGTGGATAAGGAAGAGCCTAACAGAATTGATGCATCTGAATTATGGTGTTGGAGGAAAATATTAAAAGTACGATGGACTGCCAAAAGAACAAACAGATCTGTGTTGGAAGAAGTACAGCCAGAGTGCTCCTTGGAAACCAGGATGGCCAGACTTTGTCTATCATACTTTGGGCATATTATCAGGAGGGACCAGTCCCTGGAGAAGGATATCATGTTTGGTAAAGTGGAGGGTGGGAGAAAAAGAGGAAGACCCCCATTGAGATGGATTGGCACAGTGGCAGCAGCAATAGGCTCGGGTATAGCAACGATTGTGAGGGTGGCACAGGACTGGGCAGTGTTTCGTTCTGGTGTGAATAGGGTCGCTATGAGTCAGTACGGACTCAATGGCACCTGAGAACAACATCAGATTGTTAAAGGATTCTATGAGAAAATGCATGTAAAGTGCCTAACATTGTGTGTGGCATATGATGTTGTTGTTAAGTGCTTCATGTCAATTCCGACTCATAGTGACTCTATACAGAGTTTTCCAGGAGTGGCTGGTAAGTTTGAACCACTGACCTTTCATTTCATGGCTTATCCTAGAGTGTTACCCCAGGATTCAGTGGCATATGATAGAACTTAAAATTATTATTTTATGAAAATGCTCACTTTAAAAATTAGGTCACGAAGTTATTTGTCCTAGGTGCTAGCTAGCCAGGGCATGTAACTAGATTACACACTGGGACAATGGGTTGGAATACTAGCTCAAATATTTCTGTCATTTGTTTCAAAAGTTAGAGTTAAACATTTATAAAATGCTTGGCACAATGCTTGCTAAAAAGAAGGGACAAAATTGATGATCACTATTATTATTATGAGCAATAAAAGACAGGTCTAAAGATGTCTCTGATCCTCATATGTGTAAGTAACTTCATGATGTAACATATTTGGAGAAGCAGAATAGTTTTAATTCAAAAAAGAGGAAATTCAGTAGGATGTTACTGCTGGTGTTAAGTACCATTGAGTTGGTTTCTACTCATGGGAACCCTGTTTAGGATTTCTGAGGAGCAGCAGGTGGGTTTAAACTGCAGACTTTTTGGTTACTGTCCAGTGCTTATCCTACAGCACCACACCAAGACTTCTCAATGGGATGGTTACTTTACATATTTAAAGACTTATCTTGGGAAACAGACATTGATCTTAATGATCCCAGAAGGCAGAGCTGTTACCCATACACAGAATTAGAAATGTGGGCCAAAGCAAAGAACTTCCTAACAAATAGAATGATTTGCAAGTAAAAGGGTAATAATTTTTTTCTTACTAAAGTGTTTATGAGAAAGTTTAGTAATCACTTGGTTACAAGGGATGAGGACTAACAGATATAAAATGGGATCATTTGAACGAACTCTAATCTTTTTTGGTGTTTTCTCAGAAAGCACAGAAACAATGCAAAAGAAAAGTATACTGAAAAAGCTAACTTTGCCATGTAGGACCACATACCCAGGATCAATGGATGCTTAAGTATGAATTGGAAGATCCCAAAATGATGGATTCATTGTTGCAGGAGGCCTTATTTCTTGCACCTGTCTAGGTAGCTGAAGCAGATAAAATAGATAAAGGACTCAGGTAACGTGAGTTTATTGAATTTTAACAGAATGAGGTGGAGATGAACAAGCTGATAATAGAAATCTAAACTCATGTATATGCATAGGTCTGTTTAAAGAGTTTTCTTAATCTTACCAGTAATATTGTAGCTGGAATGTAGAATATCTGTGTTGGAATCTTTTGTTCATAGAGTCTCTTATTAAATTCTGTCACATAGTACTGTGCAGTCATCTGCCGCTCCACATCAATGAAGTGGTGCCAGAGTCCCTTCTGATCCTTGTACTCTTTCCCAACATACCTATGAATGGAGAAATTTTACTTACCGTAGAGGAAGAGTGAGGAGATCAAAAAAGGTAGGCAAAAGTGCTTGGCAAATTTTACTCTTTCTCTGAGTTGGACAGTATTAATTATGTTGACTCATCTGGTGATCACATAACTTTGTAAGTGGCTGGTGAGCACTGTTGTTGTTGTTAAGTACCATGGAGTCAGTTCCGATACATAGTGACCCTGCACATGGTTTCCGAGGCTGTAAATCTTTATGGAAGCAGAATGCCTCATCTGTTTCCGTGGAGCCTCTGGTAGTTTTGAACTGCTGACCTTGTGGTTGGCAGCCTGACTCGTTACTACTATGCTACCAGACTCCTTCTGGTGAGCAATAGAACACAGTTAATTCTAGCTGACTCAGAAAGATATTGATTATTACAGAAACGTGTTCACTTAATGTAGCAGTTCACCAGAGTGTTTTGGAAGCTAAGAAGAATTAGCATACAACCAGAAAGCACCTGGACTCTGGAGCCAGATCTTTCACTAACTGCAGTCTGGTCTGACCAAGGTCAATTAGCCAATCTGAGCCTTCCCTCTACCTCTTCATTTGACTATTTATACTTCAAGTACTTATTTGTCATCAACACCTACCTATGCACACACTGAGCTAGTCTTTTCTGATGAAAGCATGAGACACAAATTGTATCCTTTAAGGGTTTATGACATAGTTGGGGAGAGAAGATACAAGGTGATGGTGGTGGATATGTGCTGTGGAGTCGGTTCCGACTCATAGCAACCCTGTACAGGGTTTCCGAGGCTATAAATCTTTATGGAAGCAGAAAACCTCATCTTTCTCCCACGGAGCAGTTGGTGGTTTAGAACCACTGACCTTGAGGTTAGCAGCACGACTCGTAACCACTACACTACCAGAGGTCCTTAAGATACAAGGTAGTAAGTGATTAACTGTAGTTTATTCTTGCTATGAACTGGTGTGAATTTGCTAGTAACTTTAGATGTTAAATCCTCAATTAAGATAAATCCTCTCCAGAGATTTCTGAATCCAATATGATAACAGAATCCCAGGAGGCTGCAGTTCTGGCCATTGAGATGGCTGAAACTCAGTAGAGGCCACAAAGGAGGAACCTACAGGGCAGCAAAGAGTAGCCTCCAGAGGATCAGTTGTCATATAGAGATAGTCTGCCACTACTCCTGTCAGTTCTGCTCCTGGGAGACCTCTGGTCTGCAGATACCAATTCAGAAATTTGCTTTCAGTCTGTAAGGCCACAGGTGTGCATGAGAAGCAAACCCTGAAGGTGCTGATGCTGAACCAGAGGCACTCCAGTTGGGTGCAGAATCATCAATCTGGGAGCAGAAGCCCATTCTTCTTACATTTCATCCAATTTTTCTGAGATCATTTTTTAAGTAAAGATTTGTTACTGGTAAACTATCCTCTTTTTTTTTTTTTTCTTCTTTCTTTTAACCTACAATGGCTTTATCTTACTTTTCTCTATGAAAGAGAGTTGATTGTTTTCTGCATTCCATTGTTTTGACTGAGAAATTAGATGTATGCCTAACTGGTATTTCTATGTATGTAATATGTCTTTTATCTTTGACTTCTTTAAAGATTGCTCCTTCATCCTTGGTATTCTGGAATTTGGCTATAATGTATCTTTGTTGTTGTTAGGTGCCATCGAGTCATAGTCCTGTGGCATCCTCACAACTGTTATGTTAGTATATATATACTTACTTTCCTTTTATCTTTCCTCTTCTCTTTTTATATTATTTTGGATTCATTATGACTCCCATATTAGAGAATTAATGTTTATGGTAAATTGGAAAAAATTCAGAACTTGTTTATTTAAATATTTGCTCTTTTCTGTTTGCTGTTACTTTCTACTGATCAAATGTGTGTTGAATTGTCTGACTCCATCCTCCATGTCTCTTCTTCTTCTTTTTTAAATTTCCTTATATCCTTCTATCCTATTCCACTGTGTGATTTGGGGCAAATTTCTTAAAAGTCTTGTGCCTCATTTTCCCCTTCTTTAAAATGGAGATATAGTACTTGATAGGGTTTTGAAGACTTAGTTGAATTGATATATAAATTACACAAATCAGTGCTTGACACACAGTACATGCATTCGTGTGTTTTCTATTGTCAACGACCTTTTTGAGAAAACTACAAATTACAATGTGTTTTTACTGCTTAAAGAACATCCAGTTTCTTTCTATTTCTCTCTCTCTCTCTTTTTTTTTTTTTTTTTTGAAATGTTATTTTGTTTTGGGAAAATAGCAGGGCCAATTTTGAATTAAAGTTTTGATGTAAACATCTTTTAAACTGTACAAATATTATAAAATTAGACCTCAACCCCAATGAGAGTCACCAGGGTGACTATTTTTTAGGTGGCATTTCACCAAGAAATAAGAACAAACAAAAATTTCCAGACATTTACCACATTGTGGTAGGATTTTTAAAGATAACTCTTTCTTTCAGAATGTAGCCATTCTTGGGTCTGCGCTTTATGTGGATGGTCTCAAAACTCATTCTATTTCATATGTGCGTTTTATCACCAGCTGCCCACATCCCTGCCCCAGACATCTCTGGAGGGTGTCTAAAAGCTTCAGTAATTGCCCACACCCCTAGACAGGCTTTATCTAAAACTCAGGATATTTTTCTGTCCTTTATTTCAGGCTCACTCATTTTTTTCAGAATATAGTGTAGTAGCTTACAAGGTGGGCTGCTAACCACAAGATCAGCAGTTCAAATCTACCAAACGCACTGTGGGAGAAAGATGAGGATTTTCAGTCTTGGGAACCTTATACAGGGTGGCTATGAGTCAGAACCAACTCTACAGCACATCGCCACCACCACCATGGCTTTCATTATTTAACTAACTTTTTGGAAACATTTTTAGTGAGAGTGCTTATGGATCTTTGTCCTGACACATGGCCAGAAATGACTTAAAAAAAGCTGTACAGTGGGGTTAATAATGTTTCCTTGATGCATTAGAAATGATGTATATAAAGGATCCAGTACAATAGTTAATATAGCATGGGTCATCAATACATGGTAACTGTTTTAATACTTTATCAATTAATGAGGAGGAGGAAAGCAAATCTGAAGACATATTTTAGCTATGATTTTCAGTCCTTTTAGAAGTTCATGAATGATTAGTTTGCAGAAGGGCAAAATTATCCCATTTTTACATAGTGGTATGGATAATTTCAAACAATACCTTCCCAGAATTTCTTCCTGATGAAGATAATGAACCCAAAAAGCCTTCCTTTGTTTTCCTTTCTTTTTCACATTCAAGTAGTCCCCAAAATACACAGCGGTTTCCTGGGCTGTCCACAATTCAGATTTCTTGGAATATTTTAACAAAAGAGCATCTAGAAAAATAAAATGATGAAAATGCATCTAATTTTAAAAAGGATGTTAAGAGATTATGAGTAACATTTAAGTGGTACAGGTCCTAAATAATCTCATCTAAAAGATTCATTGTCTTTACACATTTTCTCAAATTCCAGCCACTTCTGATGACTAACACAAGGTAAGTAAGCATACAATAAAAAGGTAAAACTTTATAAATTACAATGAAGAATAGGCTTTCATTTGTTATGGCCAGAATTCAGATAAGACCAGAATTTCTGTATGAAAGTAACAGACTATAAAAGCTTTAGAGAACAGCAAAATCTCAACATTCATCTTTGGAATAAGTAAAATATGCTCATATCTTTTCTAATTATATGAGAACTAAAAATATAGCAAAACTTGTGACAGCCAGAACTGTGTAAGGTGGAAATTTGTCAGAGAAAGAAAACTCAAATATTTTCAACTAAAATGAGTGATAAAAAAATGTCAAGAATGCACTCTATCAGAGGTGGAAAACTTCAGTTGTTAAGTGTTGTCAAGTTGGTTCTGACTCATAGTGACTCTGTATAGGACTTCTGAGGAGCAGTTGATAGATTTGAACCATCAACCTTGTGGTTAATAGTTCAGTGCTTATCCTATAGCGTCACACCAGGACTCCAAGAATATACCCTATCAAAGGTGGGAAACTTGAGAGACCTGGAAAAACATGGCAGCCTGTTGAGTGTCAGCACTCATAGGTTTCACTATAGTAGAGGTTGCTACCTGTTTCAGATCAAATAGACTTAAAAAAATTGAGATAAACAGAATAATTTTATCCAAAATATCCTGGCCACACCAGGGATCCTAGATTGCACATTAAAATAACTCTTAATTGAGTTATTTAAGTAATGCATGTAGCTCCTATACAATGATGTAAACATAATTGAACAAGGAGATGATAAAAAGGGAAGAATTAGAGACAGCCTTCATTACAGGAAAGTCCTGGTGTGGCACTGTGGGACTAACATTGGACTGCAGACAATAAGGTTGGCAGTTCAAACCCACCAGCTGCTCCTCGGAAACCCTATACAAGATTGCTATGAGTTGGTATCAACTCAACGGCATTTAACAGCAACAACAACAAGCAAGATAGCCTCTTTAAACAAACTTTGGTACATACACACAATGGAATATTATGCTACCTTGAAGAATAACAAGGAAGCTGCAAACTACCACATAACATGAATGAACCTTGAGGATATTATGCTGAGTGAAATCAGTCAGTCACAAAAGGACAAATATTGTATAAGACCATTATTGTAGCAGCTTAAGAAAAGATACCCATACTAAAAGGAAAAAAAAAAAAATTCTTTGTTGGTTTTAGAGCACAGGGGAGGGGATAGACACATACTTTGGGTGTTGGGGAGGGCAATACACAATAAAGGGGATAGGGATGGAAGAACAAGGTAGATAGGAGAATACTTAGGTTTGTATGGGATAAATGGGACAGAGGTAAATAGTGATGTATGCTCGACCTTGGAATAACAGGGCTATGTGATACAGGGATTGAGGCATATTCTGAATGAGTAAAAGAAGAGAAATAATGTTAAGATTCTTGATTGTCTTATGAATATTGGTTTTCCTTGCCTACTATTGTAAAATAGACACTTTAGTGGGATAGAAAGGAATATCGGGAAACACAATTATAGAAAACTTGTAAGCCCGTCTTCAGCCTATAACTCATTGGAATATCTAAAAGGGGTTCTACAACTTGCCCAGTGAAATAGGCTTCTTGAGGAGCCTTTGTAGTGTAAAAGACCTTAGGTAGAATTCCCATCCAGAACCTTCTGACGTGGGACATTCCCACTTGAAAGGACAAGCAGACCATCCTGGAGCAGCTAGAGGAACAGAAGATACTTGCTGAAAGAAAGACCAGCAGGAAAAAGCAAAAACAAACAACAGCAGTCTGATTGGCTACTACAAGAATAAGCTTCTCCAGGAAGCCATCAAGGCAAGCAATCAAGTCCCTTCAGGACAACTCCCCCTCCCCCACCCTCCTCCAAACTCAAAGGGAGTATATGAGAAGATATGTAAGTTTGCTGGTTACCACATTGGTCTACTGCTGAGTGGAAGCGGGGGAAAGGCAGCAATGAAGATACGGGCTGAGTTTGAACATGTTCCATAGACTTCCACCAACCTGGAGATGAGAGAGAGACAAGGAAAAGCTGGTTGGTCTGAAGTACGGTGAGACATGGGGACTCCTGGGCCCATGGACAAGGAAATAGCCACGGAGGGCCAGAGCTGTGAGTGAAGCATCCAACTGATGTGAAGTGAGAGGAGACACACAGAAATGTGCAAATTTGCAGATAGTACCCATTTGACCTAGGTTTGATGGCTTGATGATCAGAACTCGATGAGAGGAAGGTAAAACATTTTGATAAAGGAAGCAAGTATAAATTGCTACAATTTGATGAACTTGGCCTATACTATGGATGTAGTAGTTTAAAATACCAACTGGGAAGGAAGGAATCTTCATATCAAGGATCATTCCTAATCCCTCTGTACACAGGGTTGATAGGGAAAGACAATTTAGACATTGGCTACCTAAAATGTGTGTGTGTGTGGCGGGGAGGGGCAATAAAGGCATGAAGTGACTGACTTACACGTTTTCCAGAGGGAGTTTAGTTTCAGAGTGTGTGGGGGAAGGTAGAATCCCCACTGAACAGTTTTCATCTTGTCTAGATGGGTTTGGTGAAAGGAGATGGGGATACGATTATTATGGTTCAATAGTGAGTAATTGTTATCATGACTAATTCCAATTATCACAACTGTAGAGGTAGAAGTTTTGTAACAAAAAGGGGGGAGTAGTTAATCTTACATTCCAGGAACAGAGGACCCTAGGAACATCAAGGGAGAAGAGCATGAGCTGAATGTAGGAATCTAACCAGAGAAGCAGCGACACCAGAGATTAAGGCAAAGGTGATGACATGGAGACATAGAGCAGCTGAGTACTCTAGACTCATGGAAAGAGAAAGATTGCGTGCTGGGGGCCAGGAAGCAGGCTTGCAGAATGTTCCCTTGGTTGTTTAAGTGATTATATATTCCTGAGTGTTTTTTGTACATAAAAAACAAACAACAACAGCAAAAAAACACAACAACAGCAACAACAACAAAACCCAGAGGGAATGGAAGAAAATACTGTTGAATGATGATGCATGAATAAAATTGTAATCATTGCAACGAAATGAAATATGATAGGATGAAGGTAAACCCATTTTCTCTCATGTAAACTATCATTCAATTCACAATAAAAACTTAAAAAAAGGAAAGAGAATCTCTTTGAGGAGAAAAAGCTTCTTGGTATCCATGGTAAAATTAAATGAACAAATTCCTTCTGTGTCTAAGTAATGATAGTGTATGAATGAATGAGAGACCGAGGAGAGAAAATACTTAAAATAAGGTAGACTCTCAGGACTTCAGCAGAAGAAAGGAAGATAGTGACGTGGGGATGTGGGGGTGTAGTATGTGTACAGAAAGCAATCAGAAAAACTGGAGACGGGAATGGAAGGTGAGCTGTTTACATACACATCAGAAAAGTAGTGCACTGAGACAAGAATAAAGGTCAAAATGCATAACTTTAAAAACATACTGCTTCTGCAACTTTGATTCCTCTAGTGTGGTTTTTCTCCCAGAATTTCACACACAGACATAACAATAAAACAATTATATAACTTTAGTAAATAAATTTCAAAATCTTGTGGTAAGTAGGGACTCCACTTACTAAAACATTTGCTTCTTTTGGTAGCAACCTATCTGTATGTAGTCTGGCTCAAGGTGGCAGGCATAATATTGGAATCTTTTGAAGCAGAAATTCTCAACCATGAATTCATATGGAATTACTGGGAGCTCTTAAAAATATTAGTGCCTGGCTCCACACTCTATAGTCATTAAATTGGAATCTCTGGGGAGCTGGGAGAGAGGGAGGTACTGGAAGCTTTAAAAAGTTTCTCAAGAGACACTCATGTGGTGCCAGGGTTGAGAACTACTGCTGTAGCATCCAGTTTTTAGCAATCTATATACTTAGCTTCTTCTGAAATGCACTTTGCAATAGAGTGTTTTTTCTTATTCAAATAATTCTTCTGTGTCTTGGAAGGGCAAGATACAGACCTCTGGGCTAAGTGAGGAACCTTCTGTTTCCTCCCAGCTGCTCCACAAATTCTAAATTGTATTGGACACATCACCTTGGGACTGCTCCAGCCCAGGTTCAGGAAGTAAACTTGAACTGTTTCTTAAGCAAACAGTAGCTGCTGATTACAAATAGAGTGGGGACTTGACCAATCCATCAGCTGATAAGAAAATCTCTTAGGTGTGCAGCTATCAAAATATCTGCGGGACTCAAGAATTACATCAAACTCTGTTCCCCTAAAACATGAATGGGGGAAAATAGAGAATTCAGCTAGTTGGTCATGAGAATCAAAAGCCATGATAGATGTTGAATGGATGATACATATCCAAACTGTCATCCAATTACAATTCAAAGCTGCTTTACACCTTGAATGATATCTCTTCCTGAGTCTGCTAAGATCCCCATCTCTCTTACCATCATGATGTGAGGTAACCTGGATGAATTTCTGTTCTTTGTAACTCTTAGGGCCCAACATATAAAATGTGAGGGAGTCCCATAAAGCATATCCATGGACTTCTGGTGTGATGCTGTGGATCAGTACTGGATTGCGAACCACAAGGTCAGTAGTTCAAACCCACCAGATTCTCCTTGGAAAGCCTATACAGGGTCAGTATGAGTCGGAAGCAATTCAACAGCACTTAACAACAACAACAACAAAGTATATCCATATATATAAATATATATATTGTGCTCTGGCAACGTAGTGGTTATGAGATGGGCTGCTAACCTAAAGGTCAGTAGCTGGAAACTACCAGTCATTCTGTGGAAGAAAGATGAGGCTTTCTGCTCCCATAAAGATTTATACCCTCAGAATATAGGCTCACCATGAGTCAGAATCAACTCCACTGCATACATCACTATGTGTGTGTGTGTACGTACATGCACGGAGGCTCCGTATGATTAAAGCACTTGTGTGAGAACTGAAAGTTCTGTGATTTGAGCCTGCCAGCCTCTCCATGAGAGAAAGATGAGCTTTCTGCTCCCACAAAGATTGAAAAAACCTTAGAAACTCTGTACAGCATCACTATGAGTTGGAACCAACTTGACAGCACTCAACAACACACACACACACACACACACACACACGTATACTCCCAAAGTATAACAGGGACCATGTGATGTACAAAACAAGTTTTTCCCACACTTGCTACTGTCGAGTCAATTCTGACTCATAGTGACACTACAGGACAGCGTAGAACTGCCCCATAGGGTTTACAAGGCTATAGTCTTTTCAGAAACAGTTTGCCACATCTGTATCCTATGGAACAGCAGATAGGAGTGGCTGATGACTTCAAACCCTAACCTTTTGGTTAGCTTGTTTATGTTAAGTGCCATCAAGTTAGTTCCAATTTACAGTGACACTGTACAGAGTTTCTGAGGAGCAGCTGCTGATCCTACAGCACCATACCAGGAGTAGTTAGCAGCTGAGTTTTTAACCACTGGACAACCAGGGCTTCTAAAAATCAGTTATTGTTATTGTCAAGTCTATTCCGACTCATAGAGACCCTGTATGTTTTCAAGGAAAACTGGTGAGTTTGAATGGCCAATCTTGCAGTTAGTAGTCCAGTGCTTATCATACAAAGACACACCAGGATCTCAACACACTTTATTAGAGGACCCCAAACTTAGATGCTTCCTGAGGTTTTTGTTGTTAGGTGCTGTCCAGTCAGTTTGATACACAGCAACCTTGTATAGGGTTTTTAAGGAGCAACAGGTAGGTTTGAATCCCTGACCTTGCAATTAGCATTTCAGAGCTTATTTTACAGCAACACCCAAGGCCCCTTCCTGAAACCATACCCGCTGAGAAGACTGTACTTACTGTGAGCTCGGTGGAGTTGACTGGACTTAAAAACTCCTGTATTCTCCAGCCTCTGAAATAACCAATCATGCCTCACTCCTGCCAAGAGTTTTTCAAAGTCATCAGGCTCCAGGTTCCGAGCCCCAAGGATCCCTTGCCTTGTCTTTCCAGGTAGTGAAATAAAAGAACTTCCACTGGAATTCAAGACGGACCACTGGCTCTCCCCCTCAGAAGAACCACTGGAAAACATAGATGATCTAGACCACCACATGGAGGATGAACTGGAGTTTTGGCTATAGTTTAGCATGTTTCCAGGTTCATTTCCTTCCTCTGTGGTAGTGCAGTCCTGGTTAGGGTCAGGGAAAGAAATGCTTCTGCTTAGAGAGGAATTGAGAATCTTAGCTCCCTGATCAAGAGATGGCCTCAGAGCACACAATCTGTGAGAACCATGTCTACTTATGGAGTGAACATCTGTGCTGTCAAGCTGTTGGTCTTCCTCATCCATTGTAGGGGCATCAGGGTCGATGTCTTGTTCTTTGGTTGAGCCACCACCATTTTCTAGGTCATGATTTTGGCTTGGCCAACGAGTGAAAGAGTTACCTGCTGACATGGAACCGTTGCTCTGAGAATCATCGATGACTACAGGACAGTCTGAGGGCACATTATCTGTACTCTCTGCTGTTTCACCTTCTGGGTCAACCCAGAAGGGACTATTTTTAAATATAGGTCCTGTGCTTCTGTTATAAATTTCTTCTTTTTTCTCTTCCTCATGCCTGTCTTCCGCATTGTAGTTAGTTTCTGCAATTTTTTCAAAGGTTTTCTCTACATGAACCAGTGGATAAGTGGTCATGTTCTTAATTCTGCCAGAATCAGAATACGAGTCAGAATTAGAACCATTTGAAGGTCTGAATTGAGTAGAAGCAATTCTAGGACCTGTATTTTGGATTTCCTGGATAGCTTCTGGAATTTCTTTTAATGGCTCTGTACCAGAGACCAAGAAGGTACCTATTTTATTATGAGGAGGAGAGAAGATTGTCAAGGGCCTGTGCTTGTGTAGTTGAGTAGACTCTACATTGCCATCTTTGGACACCTGGAGAGAGAGATCATGAATATCTGAAGACGATGAATGTTCAGCATTGTTTTCCCCATTGTCTCCTTGCTCTTCAGATAGGGCGGTAGAACACTGAGTGTCCACATGATAGTCTTTGTTAGACTCTTTTCCATCTGACCGATCATCAGCATAATTATAATGTACTTCTTCCCAGCTTGCAGAAGAACTAAGCCCTGATAACTTGCTCCAAGAAGTGGAACTCTGACTGTCATTCAGAGATGTGCTCCAAGAGCTGGAACTCTGACTGTTATTCAGAGATGTGTTCAAAACAGCTCTCCTGCCACTGCTGCAGTCTGGTGGCTCAGTCTCTGTCTCCATATCTTTATCCACGGAATTTCGAAATGCAGCAGAATAGATCCACTTTTCCCTTCCTCTACTCCTGAGATTCTCTTTACCATTCCTGACCATTTGCGAGGAAGACATTCTTATTATCCCTTTTTGAAAAGGAGGCTTTTCTTCAGTCGTACTCACAGTATCTGTATTTTCTGTTTCTGTTTTTAGAGCAGTGATACAGACTCCTGTATCTTTTGGTTTATTTTTTCTGCTCTTACAAGCGCTTTCAAATACTTCACATACTGAAGTATGGTGTTGTGAATATGTTTCAAGGATCTTTTGGAAATCTACTTGCTCATGCAAAGTGAGATTACCTAAGGAGCTCTTGAAATTCTCTGGAACATATGACATGCTCTCTAAATCTGGGACACTTTGAACTTGTAAATAGTCCTTCACCTTGGTGATGATAGACATAATTTCCCGAGACTGAGTTTCTCTCTCCTGACTCCCTGATGAAGTACTGAATGTGTACAACTTTCCCATAGCTTCACTATATAGCTGACTGGCTGCAAGGACTGTCTCAGTCTCTCCATGGAGACTTCTATGCACTGTAGTGAGACAGAAAGCAGCTTTGACAAAACTATGAAGCTCCTGTTTTCCAGCAACTGGTTCACCATCTCTCTTGGTAAGGAGGCCAATTTCAAAGGCCTCTTTGGCTTCATACAGATATACACGTTTCATTTCTGGAGGACAGTCATTAGAATTACTATAAGACAGTAAGCACGTGCCACGGATATTCTGAGGAAAATACAAAATCAGACATTGAGTTGGAAAGTGGAAGTGAATCAAGAAAAAAAATTTTTTTTTCATTTCTAGAGGACAGTCGTTAGAGATAATAAAGAAAAATTAGTATGTCCCATGGGTATGTTGAGCAAAATGCACTATCAATGTTTAATTAAGAATTTCCATTAAAGAAGGATTGAATTAAGAAACTAAGGTTGTTTTGGTGAATCAGGAGAAGGGGCCAGGATGTTCGTGTTTCTTATTCCATGAAGGAATAAGAAATTCATGTTAGCTACCATCTTCTCGTAGCCCTGATATGTTTTGATAAAAGATAATAAATTTGTTGTTGTTGCTAATTGAGACTATGCACAGAAGTGGACATGGTCATTGTATGTGTCTTTATGCAAATTTGGTTACTATATATAAGCACACCATTTATTTACTATTAATCAAAACTCTATAGTACTATTTTCCAAATCTGTGCATCTGAACCACATGAGAGATATTTTAAAATTATAGACTTCTGGCTATCAGTTCCAGAGATTTACATTTAATGGATCTTGATAGAAATCAGGCATATGTATTTTGAAAAGGTTCCTTGGGTAATTCTGATATGCAACCAGGCTTGGGAACCATTGCTCTAAAGCAGACACAGTTACATTCCTTAGCTCTCACCAGAAAGTCACTACTCTGACTGGATTCCAATCATAATTACTGACAATGTGGTTTGAAGCCTACTTTGGTAGATTTGCCATTCCCTCTCCCTAGTTACATCTGAGTGCACCCTGGGGAGAGGAACAGCCAGGGGCTGCCCTTATTTACCATAGCAATGAGCACGAATAAGGGAGTATAGGGAGTGAATGCAGCTGCCAGCTTGCAGACTTCTGCCGCTGACAGTAAATGGTGGTCAAACTCCTTCAGGAGACCCTGTGAGCAAACAAGAAGCAAAGTGGAATGCTGATCAGTATTTATCCATTAGCAAAACACAGGCAGGTTATAAAATACTTTTGCTTTTCTTTCAAGATTCTGATGGATGCCCTGACTCTTATCACATTTCAAAACAGAGTAGTAAGAAAGAGTTTTGTTGTTAAGTGCCATCAAATCATATCAACCCTGTATTGGGTTTCTGAGGAATGGCTGGTAGGTTTGAACCACTGACATTTTGGTTTGCAGTCCAGTGCTTATTCTATAGTGTGCCACACTATAGGACCAGGGCCACATTATAAAGAGTAAATGGGTAGAATAACCCCAGGGCTTTGATAGCTCCTTCCTCCAGCACCCACTCATGAAACACACACACACAAACACATCATATCACATCACCAGTTACCAATGACTAGTTACTGTAGAGTCAAGTTCAACCCACTGCAAAACTATGTGAGTAAGAATAGAATTGTGGTCCCCAGAATTTTCAATGGCTGATTCTTTCAGAAGGAGATTGTCAAGGCTTTCCTCCAAGGTACTTCTGGGTGGAATTGAGCCACCAAATTTTTGGTTAGTAACTGGGCATAGCGACCATTTTTACCACTCAGGGACTCTTCAAATCACCCCAAAGAGGGCCTAATATCTCAAAAATTAACAATGCCTGATTGTGCTAAATAATTCAGAGGCGTTTGTTTGGACAATGGTGGTAATTCTTTTTTCACAGCAACTCCCACAATTTATAGTCAGATAAACTGGTGGGTTTTGCATTGTCTTGGCCAAAGAGCCCTTTAGCTTGTGATTTCACACCAGTGAGGATTCATTAATTCACTCTAGAAGCATTTTGTTGTGCTAGGCACTGTTGTTGTAGGCACTGGGGAGACAGCAGGAAGTGAGATAACATTGCAGTTCCTGCTTGCAATGAGCTTACTTGACAGTGTGGAATTAGAGGGGATCAACCAATACACGAAACTAGTAAAATGCTAGTATTTGAAATGGAGATAAATGTTTGGGAGAAAAGTATAGCAAGGCAGAAAACAGGGAAGTTCAGGGTAAGAAGGAAGCTTGTTGTTTTAAACACTCAACAGGGTCAACTTCACTAAGCCAGGAACATAGCCCTTTTCTGTTCTGATTTCTAGAGATTCAGGTTTCTAGAATAAGATGTGTATCTTATACTACACTAGTATAAAAAGTAACTGCAGTTATTTTTGTTGTTTGGAATATTTTTTTAAATGCCAATATAAATGATAACATTAAAAATCTCATCTTCAGGTCGGTGAATCCCAGAGAATTCATAACAGAGACTCCTTAGCGTGGTTCAATATCTGTACCAATGCTCTGGGCCCATCAAAAGATCTGGGTTTGCTCTTAATTCTGCCTATTGCTGTTTGAGGAAACATGGAGGTGACTTAATTTCTCTGGCCCTCCATTTATTTCTAAAATGAGAATGACGCATTTTCTTCTACCTGTCTCATAGGATTTTGTGTATATATCACACACACAAAAACACACACTTTAAAAATTGTAAAGTAATTTAAAGTGCGAGTATAAGTCATCATTATTTGTAAGGGTAAGAACGTGGAACAAGTGACTGGCATTCCAATTTGAACAGGTGGAGATTAAAGTTTTAAAACTATTACTGCTTTACTTTAGCATTGAGATGGCCCAAGTTTGGGAGCAGAAATTTATGGTAATCCAAAAGGAAATAAGAAGGGTTAAAACATTGATAATGTTGATGCTATTCATTCATTCTTCCTTCCTTTTTTAAAGTATCCTCTATGTATTTGATACTGTGCTGGGTGTAGGGATGATAAAGCCAAATAGGACACATAGGAACCATGCTGGGACGGCTCACATTGATCTAGATGTAGAGACATTCTGTGCTTCCTGATTTCTGAAAAGAAAGAAATCGACTAACAAATGGACCCAGAATAACATTAATAGTTTTGTAGGTGATGACAATCTGTACCATATTTTTGACAAGTGATAATTACCAAGTTAATTTGTGGATTGTTTTTAAGCTTTTCATAATCCTTCTTGCTCATGGAAACAAAGATATCCGCCAGTATACCTAGCGATGTGGAAATGCCCTATAAGAAAAACAGAAACAAAACATAGTCTGGGGATTCATGTTTCATTATTCCTTCCATCTCATGGCTTAAAAACAATGGTCCTCACTCTGTGTGAACTCTCTGCCTATGATGGCTATAATGATGATGATGATGATGACAATGACAGCAAAAACACTGGAGACACTAAAATTGTATGCCTTCGCTTGAAATATCATCACATGCTGGGGTTGTTGTTGTTAGATGCCATCAAGTCAACACTGACTCATAGTGACTGTATGCACAATGGAACGAAACACTGCCAAGTCCCATACCAACCTCACAATCATTGCTAAGCCTGAGCCCATTGGACCTAATAATGCCTCATGTAAACATGGCTCTATTTCTATTTTGGTTTCCATTGGATTGTTGACACTAACTTGCTTACACTGTTACTAAACCAGTTTCTGTTAATTCATTTACAACTCATAATGACTCTATCTATATCCGAGTAAAGCAGTGTTTCATAAAGTTTTCAATGACTGATTTTTCAGAAGTAGATTACTATGCCTTTACTTCCAGGCACCTCTGAGTGGACTTGAACCTCCAACCTTTTAGCTAGCAGCCAAGCACGTTAACTGTTTCCCAACCTAGGAAACCTTCATACTGTTGTTAGTTCTGAAAAGGCCTGAATAATTAGCCCAAAAAAGAGGCGTCACATAACATTCCATCCATGTTTTGTAAGGATTGCAGGCAGTAGTATGACTAACATAGCATAGGAAAATGTCATACTATGTAAAAGTGTTTACTTAATAAGGAGAACGTGCCTATAGAATCACATGAAATGAAACATCAGTAGAAAGCAATAATGCTTGTCAGGTTCTTGAATAAAGATGCTACATAACAATTAATTGAAGTCCTTTCCAGGAATATTAAGAGGTCTGACAATAATTTTACATATAAGGAAGTTGACCATCTCAACTTTGCTATGGAACCAAACTATGGTGGTGGTGGTGGTTATGTGCTGTGTAGTCAGTTCTGACTCATAGCGACCCTGTACAGGCTTTCCAAGGCTGTAAATATTTATGGGAGCAGATAGTCTCATCTTTCTTCTGAGGAACAGCTGGTAGTTTCGAACTGCTGACCTTGAGGTTAGCAGCCCAATTTATAACCATTATGCTACCAGAGCTCCTTAAACTATAGATAGGTATAATAAAATAGAAGAATGCATAAATAGAGAAATATATATAAATAGATGGTTACAAACAAATTTAAAAACCTCTACTGCCATCAAGTTGATTCTGACTCATAGCAACTCTGTATAGGATTTTCGAGACTATAAATCTTTACAGGAGCAGAAAGCCTCATCTCTTTTTCCTGAAGCGTGGCTGGTGGGTTTGAATTGCCAACCTTGCAGTTAGTACTAATCAGTGCCACCAGGGCTCCTTACAAACAAATAAAGAAGCACTAAATATATATTCAGAGTCTGGCTGCAAACGAGGACTATGCAAAACACAGATGGTAGTTAATATATGTCCCTCATCTTATGTTTATATAGAATGAATAAAAATGGGACAAATGAAATTAATAATGATAAACTGAATTGCATATAAATGAGATAAGCATCCAGAGGCAAATAGAGAAAAGGAGAAAAAAGCACTATACATATGAACAACCTTTTTGTCTGGCTGAGGAAGTGTCAAATATCCTACGATTGAGGCCCATATTAATTCTGCAGCTTCATACCACATCCCTGAGGGGTCAAAAAAGGAAGAGTGAGAAAAGGAAGAAATTATTAGCATCTCTGTTCTTATGTTAGAAAACACCTTTGAAAACTAAGTCAATATAGAAAGAAAATTCATTGGATCCTACTAGGAGAATTCAGGGCTGACTTAGTTCGACACAGCAATCTGTTTTTATAGTTCGTTTAATACCTTTTATATTTCATAGGAAAACAATGAGAATTGTCTCCATTATTGACAAGAATACTAATTACCATCCTTGAAAATTTTCACTTTATAAGTATTTTCAGACATAAGTGGTGTTGCTAAGTGCCAATAAGTCAGTTCTGACTCATAGAGACCTTTATAGGGTTTCTGAGGAGCAGCTGGTGGGTTTGAACACCTAACCTTGCAGTTAGCAGTTCAGTGCTTATTCTATAGCACCACACCAGAAACCTAAAGCATAATTAGGGCTCTATACATTTTGAAAAAGTCCATGAGTACCCACCAAGAATGCATGGGTAATAAATATATCATAGTGTGCTCGGATATATACCCCATGAAGTCCTGTTGAATTTGGAGTCAAATGCTAGAAATAATACTGAGAGTCCTATGGTTCGTTGTTAAGTCACTAAGTGCCATTGAGTCGATTCTGACTCATAGCAACCCTTTATAGGGTTTCCGAGGGGTTGCTGGTGAATTTGAACTGCCGACCTTGCAGTTCACACCGACTTAGGGTCTAGTGTTTTATCCCACAGTGCCTCACCAGGACTCTATGGTTAGTGTCTATATAAATGCAAATTTTCATAAATAAAGTTAATAGAAAAACATTTTATTTTATTACTTTTTATTAAACTATGAAATCTCAACTGTCCTTCTCTTTTGGATAAGGAAACTCAGGAACGTGGAGATTGACAATACTTACCAGATGCAGTAAGAAAATGCCACAGTAAAATCTGGTAGCCAAACTTTATAAATAAATCTTGAGAACAATGAATGCTTAATGACAGTACCTAGCTTCTGCAGAATTTGTCCTCTGATCTGTATACAAACTGACTGTACGAGAGTCTTGTCACTTTCATTTCTGTACAGCCAAGTACCTAAAAGAAAATGTGGGGGGAAAAAGTATTTAGGGACTTTGATTATTAAAGAACAATTCTGGTAGAAGACTTCAAGAGTATATGTTTTTTGACAAAAGGAGGGGAGTGATTGATTTTGTAGACCAGGAGTGGAGGTCCCTGGGACCATCAAGTGAGAAGAGAGGAGAGCATGACCCTACCCAGAGAGGCAGAGATGCCAGGGATGGAGACAGAGACGATGATGTGGACAGATGGAGCGGCTGGGGATACTGAACTCAGGGAGGGAGAGGGGCTGTGTGCTGATGGTCGGGGGTCAGGCCTGTGGCATGTACCCTTTGGTTATTTGATGATGCATGGAGGGGATTGTAATCATTGCAATGAAATGAAATACAATAGGACGAATGTAAAACTGCTATTCTTCCATGTAAACCTCACAACAAAAACTTATATATATATTTTTTAAAAATTATATGCATGATAGATTTGAGAGAAAATCTCTTCTCTTTGTTGCAGCCCACAAAGGACCACAGGAACTGCCTCCTGTCTAGTCTCCAACTCTCAGCTCTTTTAACTGTGTTTTACTCATTCTGGCTTCATTTTTTATCCTTGTTGCAGCAGATCTTCTTCATGGCCTCTGTTCTTGCTGTTACCTTTTCCTGGGATCCTCTTTTCTCAGGCTCCTTGAAAGTCCACTTACTTCTCTTCTTCAAGTTTCAAAATCAATGCCTTAAAGCTCCCCTCACTTAATTTACAGTATTATGGTATTTCCCACTGTCTTATGCTTTCCTCATGGAAGCTGGGATACCTAAAATAGGTTTGGATGTCCAATCTGATGACTACATACACACACACGAAGAGTATAAAAAGATCTACTACTCAAAGATCATTTCATTATAATGTTGAGACTCCCAAGTAATTCTATTTGACTTGAACTAAGTGAGGGTTGTAGTGCTATAGGATAAGCATTAGCCTGCTTATCTTCAGGTCAGTGGTTCAAACCCACCAGGTGTTCCTCAGGAACCCTATACAGGGTCACTGTGAGTTGAAACAGCACTAAACAACAAGGTGGGGTTTCAATGAAGATTTACACAATCTGGGTTGAGGTTTCTTATCAGTTTGCATAAATGTGGGCAAAAGGAAGGGAAAGGCAGGATCTGAAGGCTGTTTATAGTCAAACATCAAAAATAGAGTCAGACTCTTCGTTACATCTACCCTCATTGTTACTTCACCTTTTTTTTTTTTTTTTCCTTCCTAGAGTTTTAATCCCAGTGTGTATAGTAGTAGATGGGAAAAGTGTCAATTATAGCTTCATTATGGTGGCCAAAAGTGAGGTGTGTGTGGTCAATATTTCTTTACAACTATTTCACTGCTGGAAATGTCCACACTCTTCAAGAAGCTCAGGACCTTATATTTACATCCACTTATCTGTATAAGAAGTAGAATATACATTTCAATCTACTGTGTTCAGTTTATTGGAAAATTTATTCAATTAAATGTCCAGACATTCAGAAAGATATCTGAAATTTGAAATCATTACCCTACTATTACTAATTGCTTCCTCACTTATATGCTTTAATGTTGAAAAGCAATCCATTTCAAACTAAGTTTTCATTCATATTTTTATGTAGCAAAACAAAATTTATTCCCCAAAGTTTTAAAATATATTAAGATGCATTAATAATTACAGATGATTGGAATATGTAAGTTGGAAACAAAGAGGAAGAATCAGCAGTTGGAAAATGTGGTCTTGGTGATAGAAACAATGCTGGAGATAGCATGATAGAATTTTTTAAGATCGATGCTTTATTTATTGCAAATACCTTTTTATTACATAAAAGGTAGATCTAACCCACTGCAATACATGGAAATCAAATTATCTATATCTGCAGGAAAAGACGGTGGAAACACTCCTAGCATCAGCCAAAACAAGGCCAGGGGCAGACTGTGGAACAAACCATCAGTTGCTCATGTGTAAGGTCAGAAGCTAAAGAAAATGAAAATGAGTCTATAGAGCTAAAATATGAACTTGAATATATATCTCACCCGAATTTAGAGATTATTTCAAGAACAGATTTGATGCATTAGATACTAATGATCGAAGATCAGAAGTGTTGTGGGATGGCATCAAGAACATCATCCAAAAAGAAAGCAAAAGGTCATTTAAAAGAAAGGAGACAAAGGAAAGACCAAAATGAAAGTCAAAAGAGACTCTGAAACTTGCCTTGAGAGTACAAAAGCTAGAGAAAAGGGAAGAAATGAGGGAGTAAAAGAGTTGAACAGGAAATTTCATAGGGCAGCTAGAGAAAACAAAGTATTATAATGAAATGTACAAAGACCAAAAAAGAACATGCTCAGCATTCCTCAAGCTGAAAGAGCTAAAGAAAAAAAAAAAAAAAAAAAAAAAATCAAACCTTAGCTTGCAATATTGAGCGATTCTATGGACAAGATGTTCAATAATGCAGAAAGCACCTTTAAAAGAAGATGGAAGGAATACATGGAGTCATTGTACAAAAAAGAAATAATTGTTCAACCATTTCAAGAGGTAGTATATGAAGAACCAATGGTACTGAAAGAATTCCAGCAGCACTGAAGGCATAGGCAAAAAACAAGGCTCCAGGACTTGATGGAATACAAATGGAAACCTTTCAACAAACTGATGCAGCACTGGAGACATTCATTCATCTATGCCAAGACATTTGGAAGACAGCTACCTAGTTGATAGATTGGAAGAAATCCATATATGTGTACATTCCAAAGGGAGATGATCCAGTGGTATGCCGAAGTCATCAAACAATATCATTTGTATCACATGCAAGTGATATTTTGCTGAGGATAAAAAAAATGGTTACAACAGTACATTGACAGGGAAACTGCCAGAAATTCAAGCTGGATTCAGAAGAGGACCTGGAAGGAGAGATATCATTGCTGATGTCAGGTGGTTCTGGATGAAAGCAGAGAATATCTGAAAGATGTCTACTTGTACTTTATTGACTACACAAAGACTTTGGACTGTGTGGACCATGACAAACTATGGTTAATGCTGTAAAGAATGGGTGTTCTAGAATATTTCATTGTACTTATGTTGTGGGATGGCCTCAAGGCTATCATGCTTTTGAGGAACCTGCACTTAGACCATGATGCAGTTGTTGGAATAGAACAAGGGGATACTGAATGGTTTCAAATAAGGAAAGGTATGTGGCAGGGTTGTATCCTTTCATCACACTTTTTCAATCGGTATACTGAACAAATAATCCAAGAAGCTGGGTTATATGAAGAAGACCGTGGCATCAGGATTGGAGGAAGGATCATTAACAACCTTCAGTATTCAGATATACAGATGATACAACCTTGCTTTCTGGAAGTGAAGAGGACTAAGAATACTTATTGATGAAGATCAAACATTACAGCCTTCTGTATGAATTGCATCTCAATTTAAAGAAAATGAAGATTCTTACAACTGACTAATAAATATCATCATGATAAATGGAGAAAAGTTTGAAGTCATCAAAGGCTTAATTTTCCTTGGATCCACTATCAACATTCATGGAAATAGCAGTCCAAGAAATCAAATGACACAGTGCATTAGGCAAATCTGCTGCAAGACCTCTTTAAAGTGTTCAAGAGCAAAGATATCAGTTTGAGGATTAAGGTGTACCTAATCCAAGCTATGGTATTTTTCAGTCACTTCAAATGCATGTGAAACTTGGACAATGAATAAGGAAGACCAAAAAATAATCTATGCATTTGCATTATAGTGTAGGAAAAGAATACTAATAGGACCATGTACTATCAGAAGAACATCACATTTGTTTTGGAAGAAGTACAACCAGAATGCTCCTTAGTGTCAGTATATTGACACTTCGTCTCTCATACTTCAGATATATTATTAAGAAGGGCCCATCCCTAAAGAAGGACATTGTGCTTGGTAAAGTGGAGGGTCAACGAAGAAGAGGAAGACCCCCAATGAGATGGATTGACACAGTGACAGCAGCAGTAAGCTGAAACGTAATCACAATAATGAGGATTGTGCAAAACTGGGCTGTGTTTTATTCTGTATGTATAGGGCTGCTGTGAGTCAGAACTGATTTGGTGGCACTTTTTTTTTCCCATTAGATAACACAGTCTACAATTACACAGGTAAGTCTTGGAAGCTTTTCTTTTCTTTTTTTAGTGGAAGAAAATGGAAACACACAAAAAAGCTGCTTGACCAAAGCTATATATTCATCAGTTGCAAAGTCCATCCCAGATAATTATTCTCTGACCTTCTGACATCTGGTAGGAACTGAGGGTAAAAATATATGGTTAAGATGTAAACATATCTTACCTGTTGCACCATTGTTGGTTATTAGACTGCTTAGGATATATTCTGCTTTTAAAAGTTTTCCTGAAAAACAACAACAACAAAAATCATCCAAATGTCACACAGAGTTGTGAACATTCTACATACTCAGTTACAAATTTTACACTTTACCAGGTTCCATCACATCTTTTAGAAATCCTTTATTTTAAAATTTATAATCAGTAACCATATCACATATAGAACTGTTAAAAAAAGATTACGTTTTCAGACATTGGCAAGGTAGGAAGCTGTGTAGTATCTGAAATGGTTTGATAACAATAAAAAGAAGATTTCTAATTCATCATACAGAGTAGTAGTGGCAAACCTTTGCAAAAGACTGTATTTGCTCTCCATGGAAGTTATACCTAGATGGGAGGAATAGAACTGAACAAACAGGATCATCAGGAAGGATGTTGAGGGCAGGCTGAAGAGCGGTTCTCTCTAAACTTTTTATTTATTTTTACTACTACCTCAAATAAGAGCCCTGATATATGGGCACTGTTATTTCTTCTTCTTCTTCTTTTTTTTTTTTTGCTTGAATAGATTACTTAATGTCTTTTTGCTGACAATAAAGGATGCGTTTGCCCTCACAGAGCTTAGTTTAGTGTGAAGAGATTAAACATATATATATGCAATTGATATTGTTGTTGTTGTGAAGTGCTGTAGAGTTAGTTCTGACCCATAGCGACCCTGTATAGGGTTTCCGAAGAGCAGCTGGTGAGCTTGAACCACCAACCTTGCAGTTCAAATGGCTTTGCAGTCTGGCGCATTAACCCACAGCGCCACACCAGGACTCCATATATGTAATTGGATAGTATAAAAATAAAGATAGGCTGTTATAACAATCTCTAATTCTCACACAAACACAACAAATTTTTTTTTCTGGATGATGTGACAGTCTCCTGGGATGACTCAGAGAAAATAGGTTGGAGATGTGGTTCCATGCAGTCATTCAGGTACCTAGGCTTTTTCCATCTAATGGTTCTGTCATCTTTTAGGGCCTCAGAGATGGCCACTGGATTTTTTGCATGTATGTGTCCATTAGGCACAGAAAAGGTGAACATGGGATATGATATTACAAGGGAGGTTTATGAGACAGATCTGGATAAGCCTCCTATGTATTCTAATGGCCAGAAATTAGTTATATTAATAAATACAGCTAGATGTGAATTTATGGTGAGAGAAAGAAAAGGAAGGTGGCTGTTGTTGTTAGGTACCATTGAATTGGATTATTATTCAGCTTCTTGGATTATTTGCTCAGCATACAGATTGAATAAGTATGGTGAAAACATACCCTATGTACAGCAGAATGAAATACTTACTGCCCAGTCCTGAGCCCGCCTCACAATCGTTGTTATGTTTGAGCCATTGTTGTAGTGTTACTTCTTTAATATGTAGAAAATGTAATCCTTTCTTTTTTTTATCCATCCCTTCTTACAGTTGCCACCAAGATTTTCATGATCTGTCCCCTGTGATTTTTTTGACCTCCTTGCTAACTTTACTTTCCTTCAACCTCAGTATCACTTTTGCAATGTGACCTTGCAATTCCTTCATCAGGAGGTGGAATTTAGAGTTTGTTTCCTCTTTCCCAGAACCTGTACTGGCCCTATGCCCTGTTTAGACCAGTGGAATGTGGCATAATGGACACTTTATGCTCTTGAAACCAAGCCACCATGGTGTCCAGAAACTCAAGCAGCAACATGGAGAAGCCATGAGCTGCCAAAAGAACCAACAGATTTGTGTTGGAAGAAGTGTAGCCAGAGTGCTCCTTGGAGGCCAGGCTGGCCAAACTTCATCTTTCATACTTCAGACATATTGTCAGGAGGGACCAGTCATTGAGAAGGATACCATGTTTGATAAAGTTCCTGTGCAGCAGATTTGCAATATGTCGTTTGATTTCTTGACTGCTGCTTCCATGAGTGTTGGAGGGTTGGAGAAAAAGAGGAAGTCCCCAACGAACTGGATTGGCATAGTGGCATCATCAATGAGCTCAAATGTAACAACAATTGTGAGGTTGACCCAGGATCGGGCAATGTTTTGTTCTATTGTGCATAGTGTTACTATGGTACTTGATGGCACCCAACAACAACAGCAGTGTTAAGTTCCATTCTGGTCACCAGTATCAAATCCCTACTGTGTGTGTGAGAGTATTTTGGATTTTCTAGTTGTTCCAGCTCCACATACTACCTAAAAGGATTAACTAGCCAAACTATAAAGTTATGAGAAATAATAAATTGTTCTTATTTTAAGCAACTAAGTTATGGGATGGTTTATAATACAGCAATATGTTATAAACAAAAAATGGACCTTAGGTCTGTTACAATAACAGCAATTGGGTACCTACAAGTGGGGTACTGCTGTAACAAAAAACATAAAACATATGATGGAGGCAAGAAGGGTGATGAGAAGACTATTATTGGAGACTTAAAAGGCAGTGAGAAATTGTTACTGGAGATTTGAGAAAAGGGAACACACATCATAAAATTTAACAATATTCTCCTATGTTGTTGTTGTTGTTAAGTGCCGCCCAGTCAGTTCTGACCCATAGTAACCCTATATAGGGTTTCTGAGGAGCAGCTGGTAAGCTTGAACCAACAGCCTTGCAGTTCAAACGGCTTTGCAGTCTGGTGCATTAACCCACAGTGCCACACCAGGACTCCTATAGTAATGTGAAAAATAGAAAATGTAATTAATGAACTTGTAGATATGGCTAAAGAGATTTCCAAGAACAATGTTGGAAGTACCGAAATAGACTATTTTAGCCTGATATAAATGCAGGAAGGAAGAGATGAACTACAGAATGACGATCCCATTTTTAATCAGAGTTTGTTGTTGTTTTTGTTAGGTGCCATTGAGTTGGTACCGACACATAGCAACATTATGCAAAGCAAAATGAAACACTGCCTGATCCTGGGCCAACCTCACTATTGTGCCACGCTTGAGTCCATCGATGCTGCCACTTGGCCAATCCAACTCGTTGGGGTCTTCCTCTTTTTCTCTGACCTTCCACCTTACCAAACATATCCTTCTCCAGTGACTGGTTCCTCCTGACAATATTTCTGAAGTAAAAGAGACGAAGTTTGGCCATGTTGGCCTGCAAGGAGCACTCTGGCTGCACTTCTTCCAAAACGGATCCATTGGTTCTTTTGGCAGCTCATGGCACTTTCAATATTCTCCTCCAACACCATAACTCAAAAACATCAATTCTTCTATGGTCTTCCTTATTCACTGTCCAGCTTTCACATGCATATGAGGTTACTGAAAATACCATGGCTTGGGTCAGGCGCACCTTAATCCTCAAGCTGACATCTTTGCTCTTCAACACTTTAAAAAGGTCTTGTGCAGCAGATTTGCAATATGTCATTTGATTTCTTGACTGCTGCTTCCCTGAGTGTTGATAGTTGATGCAAGAAGAATGAAGTCCTTGACTTCAATCTTTTCTCTGTTGATAAGAATGTTGTTATTGGTCTAGTGGTGAGGATTTCTGTTTTCTTTACATTGAGATGTAATCTACACTGAAGGCTGTGCTCTTTGATCTTTAACAGTAAATGTTTTAAGTCCTCTTCACTTTCAGCAAGCAAGGTTGTATCATCTGCATATCGCAGGTTGTTAATGAGTCTTCCTCAAATCCTGATGCCATGTTTTTCTTCATATGACCCAGCTTCTCAAATTATTTGCTCAGCATACAGGTTGAATAAGTATGGTGAAAGAACACAACCTTGTCGCACACGTTTCTTAATTTTAAACCATTCAGTATTCCCATATTCTGTTTGAACAACTGCTTCTTGGTCCAGGTACAGATTCCTCATGAGCACTGTTAAGTGTTCCTGATATTAATACTTTGCAATGTTGTCCATAGCTTGTCATGATCCACACAATGAAAAGCAATAACCCTCATTCCACGGCCTCTTCTGAATCTGGCTTGAACCTCTGGAAATATTCTGTCAATGCATGATTGTAGCTGTTTCTGTATTACCTTTGTTGTTGTTAAGTGCCGTCGAGTTGTTTCCAACCCATAACGACCCTGTAGCAAAACTTTAATCTCATGGGATATCAAAGAGATTGTTCGATGATTTTCACTTCTGTTGGGCACAAATATGGATCTCTTCTAATCAGTTGGCCAGATAGTTGTCTTCCAAGTTTCTTGGCAGAGATGAGTGAGTGCCTCTTGTGCCACCTCACATTCTTGAAAGATTTCAATTTTCATTCCATCAATTCCTGGTGCCTTGTTCTTTGTCGATTCCTTCAATGCACCTTGGACTTCCTCATTCAGTGCGATTGACGCTTGATCATGTGCTACCTCTTAAAACGGTTGAACTTTAACCATTTCCTTTGGTACAGTGACTTTGTGTATTCCTTCCATCTTCTTTTGATGCTTTCTGCATCATTCAATAATTTACCCAGAGACTCTTTCTATAATGAAAGTCGAGGCTTGAGTGTTTTCTTCAGTTCCCCCAGCATGAGAAATGCTGAGCGTGTTCTTTCTTTTTGGTTTTCTGGTTCCAGATCTTTGCACATTTTGTTGTAATATTTGGCTTTATCTTCTTGAGCTGATCTTTGAAATTAGGGGCCCAGAATAGTCTTTCTAGTCTTTTCAGACATTAATACCTGGAAAATATCATTGCTGATGTCAGATGGGTCTTGGCAGAAAGATATTTACTTATATTTATTGACTCTACAAAGGTGTTCATCTCTGGTTCATAACAAAGTATGGATTGCAAAGAATAAAATGACAAAGGATGGGAATTCCAGAATACTTCATCGTCTTCAGGAAGAACCTGTATATAGACTAAGAAGCAACGATTCTAACTGAACAAGGATATACATTGTGGCTTAAAATCAGGAAAGATGTGTGCCAGGGTTGATGGCATTTAACAACAACAGCAAAAAGTTTAAGGGCAGTTTGTTTTGAAGCCAAGAATGACTAAAACACTGGCTTTCACCTTTCATTTTGTTCTGCTTAATTTTTCTCTATAGCACTTATTGCCATAAAACATGCTGTAGCTTAAAAATTATTTACTTATTGATTGTCACTTGTATGTGGTTGCCATGAATTGGAGATGACTTGTTGTAAACAAACAAGAACAGCAATAAGGTAATTGCCAATAAAGGTCATTTTCCTGTAGGATTTCCACTCCCCCAGGCTGTGGATATTTCTTTGTTTTTATTTGTGGTTGTATGAGTAGATTCTGACTCATAGTGCTCTGGTGTAACAGAATAGAACTCCTCCATAGGGTTTCTCTTTGTCATCTTTACAATAGAAGATGGCCAGGTCTGTCCCACAGAGGGGTTGTTGCTGTTGCTAAGTGCCTGCAAGTCAGTTCCGACTCATACCAACCTTCTATAGGGTTTCCAAGGAGCAGACCTAATGGTTCAAACCAACCTTGCAGTCCAGCTCTTATTCTGTAAAGCCACATTAGGAGTGGTTAGGTGGGTTGAAATCACAAATGTTTCCATTAGTAGCCCAGTGTTTAACTGATGTACCACCATGACTCCTGTCTCTAGAGCAGTGGCATCACTAAGGTTGGTGTCACCCAGTGCGCTAACTCATGGTATCACCGTGGGGCCAGCCAGCCAACCAATCCCCATCCCCCCAACCATGGTGGAAGCAACCGGATCAAACTTTGAGCAGACCCATGGCCAGAGTTGTGAGTCCCCACCTACCACTGCTCCCTGCAGCTTCTCCCCTCTACTGCTGGTCAAGGTGGAAACCCTCCTTTCCACTCAAGGGCAGGTGATGGAGAGGAGGGTGTGATGAGTTACACTGCTACACATGACCCCACCTCTAGTACCAGTAAGCCTGCCATTGTTGCTGTGGACTCTGGGATCTTTTTGGTCTCACCGTGAGAGAGTCAGGGAAAGTAGATGGTACACTTCACCTTTACTACCTAGTGAGCGCATTGATCTAGAGTGCAGTTTTGTCCTTGCTTTTTATGTATGGCCTCAGAAATTTGGTCCTGAACAACTTTTTTCTTAATTACTTGTCTGGGTATTTTATTTCCTCCCTTTAGAGTAGGAACATTTCAGATTCACTCACAATTGACACTGACTTGAGGCTTTTATTTGGTTCAGACTTTTTTTTTTTTTTTTTTTTTTTTGCCTCGGTCCCTGCAGAGCTTGGGGCAGACAACATTCTTCCTTGCCCTGTCTCAGGGCAGAATGGCAGAGCTGTTCCGTCCCCTTTTCGTAGCCTATGGAGCCTTCTAAGGAATTTTAGTTGTTGTTAGGTGTATAGTAGGATGAAACAGTGTCCAGTGCTGTGCCATTCTAACAAATGCTGTATGATTGAGCCCATTGTGCTGCAAGTGTGTCAATCCATCTTGTTGGGATCTCCATCTTTACTGATGTTGTAATATAAGGACTGGTGTCCTGGTGTGGCTCTGTGGGCTAATGTGTCATACTACAAAGCCATTTAAACTGCAAGGTCAGTGGTTCAAGCTCACGAGCTGCTCTTTGGAAACCATATACAGGATCGCTATAGGTTGGAATCAACTCAACAGCATTTAACAACAACAAACAATAAAATAAGGACTGGTTCACAAGGTTGGTTTGAACCACAAGGTTGGCAGTTCAAACTCACTAGCTGCTCCTTGGAAACCCTATGCAGGGCCGCTATGAGTTGGAACCGATTCGATGGCAGCTAACAACAACAACAACTTTACTAAGTATGATGTCCTTCTCCAGGGACTGGTCTCTCCCTACAACATGTTCAAAGTACAGGAAACTAAGTCTTCCCATGTTGACTTCTGAGCAGCATTTTGGTGATACTTCTTCCAAGACAGATTTGTTTTTCTGGCAGTCCATGGTACTTTCAGTATTCTCCATCACCATAACTCAAAGGCATCAATTCTTCTACGGTCTTCCTTATTCACTGTCCAGCTTTCACATGCATATGAGGTGATTGAAAATACCATGGCTTGGGTCAGGTGCACATTAGTCCTCAAAGTTATATCTTTGCTCTTGAACACTTTAAAGAGGTCTGTGCAGCAGATTTGCCTAATGCATATGCCACTTAACTTCTTGACTGCTGCTTCCATGAATATTGATTGTGGATTCAAGTAAATGAAATCCTTGACAGCTTCAATTTCTTCTCCATTTATCATGATGTTTGTTGTATATTGGTCCATTTGTGAGGATTTTCGTTTTCTTTACGTTAAGTTGTGATCCATACTGAAGGCTGTATTTTCTAATCTGTGCTTCAAGTCCTCTTCACTTTCAACAAACAAGATGTGTCATTCAGAGCTTCCCTCTGATCCTTATGTGGTACTCTTCTTCATATGCAGGAAACAGATGAGGCTTACTGCTCCCGTAAAGATTTTATATGGCAACACTATGAGTTGGAACCGACTTGATGGCACTTAACAGCCACAACTTCTCCATACAGTCCATCTTCTTGATTATTTGCTCAGCATACAGATTGAATAAGTATAGTGAAAGGATACAGCCATGATGCACACCTTTCCTGATTTAAGTTGTGTACAAACATTTTCCTACTCTTGTCTCCAAAGTGGCATTAAAATGGTAATCCCTTCCCTTAGGACTATATCCAAGTATTCTTTTGGCTAAGGCATCATGAGCAAAAGTATACTCCCCTGACTTTGAGTACCTGCTATTTCAGATATTTTTTTAAAAACCCCTTTAATATACCATTTTCTGTGTCTGTAGCAGAAGATTTTCTAATTGTACAATCCTCCATGTTGATGGATTTGAAGTTTGAGCCTTGCATCTCTAGCTTTTATTCTAAAATAACATTTAAAGGCTAGAATTACTAAAGCAATGTTGCTGTTAATTGCTGTCAAGTCAGCTCCAAAACATGGTGACCACTTGTATAATAGAATGAAACCGTGCCCAGTCCTATGCCATTGCATGATTGCTGGCATTCTCAAGTCCATTGCTAGGGCCACTGTGTGTTTTCAGCGCTTTCCATCCCTGGAGAGTCCTCTTCGAGTATTACATAGGGCAGTTCTGTTATGACCCATAGGGTTTTATTGGGTAATATTAGGAAGTAGATTGCCATGATTTTCTTCCTAGCCTGTCTATGTAGGAGAGCTCCACTGAAATCTGCTCACCGTGGATGACCTGCTGATATTTGACATATTGGTAGCATAGTTTCCAGCATCATAGCAACATGCAAGCTGCCAAAATATGGCAAACTAACAGATGGTTTGTAGATTAAAATAATAACAATAGCTAAAACCATGAGCCAGTCCTGTTTCTGAGTGATACAACTTGCCCTTTGGTTTCATGCTGTTTTTGCATGGAATCTTTACTCCTTCACTCTTTGAAATAATAGCAGGCTACACATCTATAAACATAATGGTGATTGTTGTTGTGAGGTGCCATTGAGTCAGTACCGACTCATAGTGACCCTATGCACTACAGAACGAAACATTGCCCAATCCTGGGCCAACCTCACTATTGTTGCCATGCTTGAGCCCATTGATGCTGCCACTTTGCCAATCCATCTCACTGGAGGTCTTCCTCTTTTTCTCTGATCCTCCATCTTACCAAACATGATATCCTTCTCCAGTGACTGGTCCCTCCTGACAATATGTCTAAAGTAAGAGAGACGAAGGCCATGCTGGCCTCCAAGGAGCGCTCTGGCTGCCCTTCTTCCAACACAGGTCTTTTTGTTCTTTTGTCAGCTCATGGCACTTTCAGTATTCTCCTCTAACACCATAACTGAATGCATCAATTTTTCTATGGTCTTCCTTAGTAATGAAAATTATAAAGATTCTATGGAAGTGTACCTTGTCATAATACCTATGTAGCAGCCACCCTCCCATCAAACCCCCTTCCAAATTACATACTAAGCTAGAGTGTTAGTCTCATTTTTTGTTTCAAAGTGAGAAGAAGAAGAAAAAAGATACTTTATGATCTAATCAGGTACTGTACTGGTGTTCTGAGTGGTGAAAAGAAAGAAAGAAAAAAAAATCAAATTACTTCAATAGGTTTGTCAGTTCTGTTGTTAGCATAGTTAAGTGGCCCTACAGAAAAAGAGACAGGGCAACTAAGAGAAAATAGTAGAATTCCAATCTGCTTTTTAAAGTCGTTTGGTCAGAAGTATAGCAATTCAGATACCCCTGTTTGAAAGCAGCAGGACAGACTTGTTAGAAGACAAAAGCTCCAATTAGTATTTTCCACACCCTTTCACAATTTTCCCTACTGCTTTTGGCTCTGACACCCTTTATGCCAGGGCCTTTGTACTGGCAAAGCGGCGGGTGGAAGGGCAAGATGGCAGGGTTCGGGGGGAGGGAGCAAGGGAGGCCTGTAAAGATGGTACATGGGGCCCTTAGGATGCCGCAAGATCTTCTTTCAGAAGTCAAGAAGCTCCGGAGGGAAGGGAGCTGTAGACAAGATCAAGTTCAGCACCAGCAGGCAGGCCAGCAGGAGTGAGCCTACCTGAATTGACAGAGATTCGGGCCTGTCGAATAACCACCTGCGGGGCAATTGGCGTTGTTGGCTGGAACTTGTGGAGACCTTTGGCGACCTGTAGGAGTTTGCTGGAGACATCGAGCCCGTACAGGAACCGGTCCATTAGGAACACAATGGCTGCCGCTGTAACACAGTCCTGAGCTTGGATGGATGCTTTCAAGGACGCCTGAAGGAATATCCAAATAGCATCATTAATCAGACAGAAATAGAGCTGGGCAGAAGAAGGCAGACTGAAGACCAAGCATCGTCTTCTAGGTATTTTTTATTTAAAAAAAAAAAAAAAATCTGCAACAAAAAAAAAAACCTACAGAAAGGAGATGAAATATAGTTTAGTAGGCTACTGAAAAACTCCCTCTGAAAAAAAGTGATTTAATTATAAAAGAAAAACATTTAATTCCTTCCATTTCCCCATTGTTGTTGTTGTTGAGTGCCGTCGAGTCGGTTCCGACCCATAGAGACCCTGTACAGGGTTTCCGAGGGTGTTCTTTACGGGGGTAGAAAGCCTCATCTTTCTCCCACGGAGCGTCTGGTAGTTTTGAACTGCTGACCTTGTGGTTCGCAGCCCGATTCGTAACCACTACGCTACCAGAGCTCCTTATTTCCCCATTAGTTCTACATATATATAAATGGGAAATGCATACTTCTGGTTGTTGAAAATTCGAAACTTGAAAAACTTGCAGAGTAGAAATTAACAGTGCCCTGTCATTTTTCAACTCCTAATGTTTTCCCTCTTCCCCAATTTCATCCCTACTCTTCCCTGGTAATGACTGGGGAAAGATTCTTCCAGAACTCCTTTAAAGTTTTGTGTATGTTTAGACATTAAATGGAGTGCTGGTATGGTGCTATAGGCTAAGTACTGGACTGCTAACCACAAAGTCAGCAGTTCAAATGCATCAGCTTCTCCTTGGAAACCCTTGCCTTCCCCTTCCCTTCCTCCTTGCTTCTCTCTTTCTTTTTTCCTTTCTTTCTTACATAAATGAGCTCACACTAGACACATTGTTCTGTTGCTTGCTTTCTTCAGTTATCATTCCTCTGGGAGGGATTTCCATATCAGTTCATCAAAGAACGCTTTGGTTTCTTTATTAGCTCCATTTTAATTAAGGAAAAATATAGACTTTTAAGGTAACATTTTCATTTAATATATATTATTATATTTAGTTAATAAATACAAGAAGAAAATAGGCATGAAATGAAGGGAGTTACATAAAGAGAGGTAGATAAAAAACAGACTTTTATGGAGAAACATTATCTTGTAGGGTTTTTGTTTTTTTTATTTTTAAATTATTTTATTTTGGCTTGGGTGAAATTGTACAGAATTAGTTTTCCATTCAGCCATTCATACACATTTTGTTTCCTGACATTGGTTACCATTCCTTCAATGTAACAACACTCTTAACTATTTCCTCCCTGGGTTCTCCATTTCTAGTTGTCCTTCTTTCTTTCCTGCCCCTTCCTGCATTCTGAACTTTACTTTCAGTCCTATGTGAGTTTGGGTCTGATATGGTTGACTGCTCTCTTCTGGTGAAAAACAGGCCCCAGGTTAAAATATATTACATAAAGTTCCCTTCGTTAGGTCTTAAACAAGACAAAGACAAGACAAAGACAAATTATTGGGCATGTGGCCATAATAATATCCAAAGGATTCAAAACCATGACACTTATAGAACTTGGGAAACAAAGAAAATTGTCACAAAATCATGATAGGTGGAAGACATTCATCACTGCCTCAGAGAGTACTATGTTGTTGTTAAGTGCCATCGAGTCGGTTCTGACCCATAGCGACCCTGTACAGGGTTTCCGAGGGTGTAAATCTTTACGGGAGTAGAAAGCCTCATCGTTCTCCCGCGGAACGGCTGGTAGTTTCGAACTGCTGACCTTGCGGCTCGCAGCCCGATTCGTAACCACTACGCTACCAGAGCTCACTAGAGAATACTATGGAAGTGGTAAAAGGACCATGATTGGGATACATACATTACTACAGATTATAAAACTTGGAGGATTGGTTATGGGGTCCTTCAATCACCTCAGTTAAGATATAACTCATGACCCTGGTACCCCAATTTCCATTAAGGGCATGCCCTGCCTCTCTCTGGACTGTCTATCAAACCCAATGTCATCGAGTCAATTCTGACTCATAGCACCCTATATAGGATTTCTGAGGCTGTAAATATTTACAGGAGCTGACAGCCTTATGTTTCTCCTGTGACTGGTGGGCTTGAACTGCTGATTTTGCTGAGACTAACACAACATGTGACTCATAGGGCCACCAGGGCACCTCCTTGGGTTGGCTAGGAACATCTTAATCTACTTTCAAATGTACTCTTCCTGAGGACAAAGCTTTTTACATTGCCAGTTGTGGTACAGTGAATGACGGCTCTTCTAGTCTTAGTCTTTGTAGCTCCCACCAATGACTGGGTTGTTGGTGGTAGTAGTTATGTGCCTTAGAGTCGGCTCTGACTCATAGCAACCCTGTATAGGGTTTCTGAGGCTGTAATAGGGTACATGGAATTCTAATGTGGGGATTGGTCAATTTTGCCATGTCACTGGGTTTAAAATGAGCCATCTCAGAAGCAGGAATGGAAATCTCAATGACATCAGGAATGAAGAGCCAGATGTGAAGTGCATCCTTTGGACCCGAGATTCCTGCACTGAACCTCTTTGATCTAAGAGAGGGCTGTGGCAACAGAGAAGTGATGGTGAAGTAGTGGAGAAGTGGGAACGAACTGGTGGCAAAGTGGTGGAGAAGCGGTGGCAGTAGCCTCATAGCACAACACAGAGCTGTGTTTCATTCTGCTGTGCATATGGTCACTATGATTCGGAACTGACTCAATGGTACCTAACAACTACAATAACACCCGTTCTGAGGTGCACATTCTTCACACATGTTATTGCTCACTTGATAGATCTGTCTGTGGTTTGGCTGAAAAGTGATCTATCTCCAGGAGTGGATTCAGTTTCATGTTTAAAGGTGTCTAAAGGCTTTAGTCTTGAGAGTTCCACCAATCTCTATTAAACCAGTACGTTTGGTCTTTTTATGATTTTAGTTTTGATTCTACATTTTTATCCTCTGCTGTCCAGGACTCTTTATTGTGATCTCAATCAAATAGCTGGGTAGTGGTAGCTAGAACCATCTAGTTCTTTTGGTCTCAAGCTAGTGGAAGTTGTAGTTCATGCGGTTCATTAATTCACTGAACTAATTATGTCCTTGAGTCTTTTTAACTCTTCTTTACTTCACATGGGAAGAGATTTTATCTTAGATGAGCATTGACAAGATTCTAAGACTCCAGTTACTCACTTATGATCTTATACTTCAAGACTTATGGACACTTACGATCTTACACTTAAGACATTTCAAGTTATGCAGATGTGGCATAATTGAGTTTGTCATGCCTGAAGGCCTTTGTTCCTCTTGTTAGACAACACAAAACTGAGTGTTTTCTGGGCATGTTAGCTCAAACATGAAACATAGACAATGTTTTACCACCCACTTTCCTACCAAAACACTGCTCTACTCCCCTCATAATTGTAAGTACTAACACCTATTGGGCAAAACAATGTGCCAGGCATTTATAAATTATTGCATTTTATTATATATTATTATATATAATTCATATATATATAATTCAATATTATATATGTTATTATATAATAATTCATTTTATTTTCACAATACTGTTAAGGGGCAAATTTAGTTATTCTCCCCATTTTATAGTCATGAAGCCCAAGGTGGAGAGGGCTTATAAATTTGCTGAAATTTATATGCCCTGTGTAGGATCAACAATGAACTGCTAGCCTTAATGTCAGCGGTTCAAAGTCACCAGCGAATCCATGGGAGAAAGATGAGGCTGTCTAGTCTCATGAAGGTTTATAGTCTCAGAAACCCTGTACAGGATCACTATGAGCTAGGAATCTGAGGAGGCTAAGGTGGTATAGTGCCAGAAGGTCAAAGTTGCAGAAATCTTCAGAGGGTCCTTTTGAGTCTTTAGCAGAATACTAATCAGCTCAGGTGCAGAAAAGAATCCGCAGAGCCTGAGAAAAAGAACCAAATGGAAGAAGCAGAGGAAACAACCATCAAGTCTCAAGCAGTTTGTGTTTCCTCTCACCAGAATGAAAAATCTTGCCATTTCCCAGAGCTTGGATAGAGTCGTCAGAAGGGTGTTGCTTTAATTGTTGTTGTTGAGTGCCATAGAGTCGGTTCCGACCAATAGCGACCCTAGATAGGGTTTCTGAGGAGCGGCTGGTGAGCGTCAAAATTAGCTGCAGACTAAAGACTGCTCTTATCTCACTCTAAACCTTTGAAAAAACAAGGCTTGAAAAGACCAAATTGTTTTTTAAACTGACTGAGTCCCAAAACAAAGCTTAAGAATGTTGTTGTTGTTGTTAAGCGCCGTTGAATCCACCATATAATAAGGTAAAATTTACAATGTCTAGCATCCATCTCTGGTAGTGTAGTGGATATGAGTCAGGATGCCAACATCAAGGTTAGCAGTCTGAAACTACCGCGGTTATTTGGGAGAAAGATAAGGCTTTCCGTTCCCATAAAGATTTACATCCTGGGAAACTCTGTACAGGGTCATTATGAGTTGAAACTGACTCCACAGCACATAACCACCACCACCTATCATCCAGTCAAAGTTACCAGGCAAGAAAGAAGCCTACATTGAAAAGAAAAATCAACCAATAGAAACATACCTACCAATGACATTTATTATAACTGTATTCCGTATGTTTAAGAAGGTACAGTAGAAATTAAATATATGAAGTAGAGAAGTAGCAGACATGAAACATGATTAAAAAAAATGACCAGACTTCTAGAAATGCAATAATATCACATCTGAGATGAAACCATATGGATCTGGGTTTATCTCTTGCCTCAACCATTTACTTTCCAGAGCAAGTTACTTAACACAAGGGAACTTCAAAAAGTTCGTGGAAAATGGAATTGAAAAATAATAGAATTTTTTGCAAGAACTTTTTGAAGGTCCCTCATATTTAACTGAAGGTACCCTGGTGTCTTACTGAGTTAAAGTAATGGTAAAAGATGAGGCTGTCTATTTCCTTAAAGATTTATTGTCTCAGAAACCCTAAGGAGCAGTCCTATAGGATCTTTATGAATTGGAAATGACTTGATGGAGTGGTTTTGGTTTGGTGGTATTTAACCTTTCT